TCTGCTCCTATGATGCTGCTTGGCCTGCTGTGTTCATCCAGCTCTGCACCTTGTTGTCTCGGATTCTCCAGCATCTGCAGTTCCTACTATCCCTAATTTGTAAAATCTCTCTTCATAAACCCTGATGTCCGGGAATAATTTGTTAAAGCCACGAACAACAAGATTCTTATCGTGAAAACAGAAGATATCAGGAATCCTCCATTTTAGCCTCAAAATGTAAGGAAATCCCTCTAGTACAGTGGCAAAACCATTCGTACTGCAAAATTATTTTAAAGTAGCAAGCAGAATACATTATTGCAAACAAATCTGCCAATTTTAAAATGCACCCCTTTCCTTGTGTTGCTCAGTGTCAATAAGCAGATTGTGACATAATCTGTTGCAGATATATAACGTCATAGTGAGGGTTCTCCTAGGTAGCAATGACCACAATGTGATTGAGTTTTGTATTCAGTCTGAGGGAGAGAAGAGTGACTCCAAGAATTGTATTTTTTTTAAACTTAAAAAGGTAATTGTGAATGTGTGAAAACTAGCTAAAGTGAAGTAGCAAATCTAGGTTAAGGGACAAGTTGCAGTGACAAACATGTAAGGGGATATTCCAGAGTGTATACAGAATAGATGCATTCCAACAAAAAGAAACTTCAAGCAGGAGCCCCACAAGCTGTGGTTAATTTAAAATAAAAAAGTCAAATAGAATATGGAAAAATGTGAGATTGGCAGGGAGAATAAAAATGAATATTATCTAAATGATGAAAGATTGCAGAGTGCTGAGATACAAAGGGATTCAGATATTCTACTGCATGAATTAAAAACTTTAATGTTAATATACAGCAGGAAATTAGGAAAGCTAGTAGAATGTTATTGTTAATTGCTAGGGGCATTTAATACAAAAGTTGAGAAGTTATGCTGCATTTTTACAGGGATTTGCTGAGCCCACATCTAGAGTACTGTAAACATAAGGTAAAGTTGCTATAGTCTTATCAGACTAAAGGGCAATGCTCTGAAAGGCACAACTGGTAGTTGTTTAACCTGAGGGTCACCACCTCTCCAGCAAGGGGAGAGGTTGAAAAGGAGAGTACTTCACGGTAGCCTCAGCTAGTGCTGGAATTGCATCCATGCTGTTGGTGTCACTCTGTACTGCAAACTAGCTCTCCAGCCAACTGAGCTAACTGACCACACCGGGAGTACTGTGCACAGTATTGGCCTCCTTGTGTAAGGAAGAGTGTAAATTCCTTGGAAACAATTCAGATAATCTGGAATAATAGACATCCTTATGAGGAAAGTTGGACATGGTAGCATTGTATCCACTGGAATTTAGAAGATTAAGCGATCACTTAATTGAAACATGCAAGATGGTGAAGGGTATGATGAAGTAGATGTGGAAAGAAAATTTCATCTTGTCAGAACCCAACACTAGGAAGATTATTTAAACTTAAGTGTTGCCCATTTAAGTCATTTGTATTTCTTTCTCAGAGGTTCATGAGTCTTTGGAAGACTCTGCTTCCTCTGCCTTTTGAGGAAGAGTCTGAATATTTTTCAGTAGCACAGATTCTTGGTAAGCAAAGTAGTGAAAGGTTATTGGAGCTAGGTGGGAATGCAGAGTAGTAATCAGCTCAACTATGATATTGAATGGCAGAGTGGTCTCGGAGGGCAGAGTTGCCTTTTCCAGCTCTTCATATTTGTTTGTTTTTACGGAAGCCACCACAGACGATGACTAGTGTTCAAAAATTCAACTTGTTGCAGCAATGAAATTACATTTCTAAAATTTAAAGAAACAATAGCTTGTTTCAGTAGTGAAGACGTCTTCCGCAAAGGAAATCCAAAGGTTAAAACATCCTCCAGATTAAAGGGCCCTATAGATCTCTTGCTTTCAGGAAGAGACTCCAAGACAATCATACAGCCAGCAAACAATCATCTTTCAGCTCAGAGGAGAACACATTCCAGGAGAACAACAAAACCTCCAGACTATTTTGAGTTTAACTCTGGATTTGAGGAAGGTGGGATAAATTAACTTGCTAATATTATACATTTGTGTATCTAATAGGAAAATATGGCTTGTGGGGATATGTATATGGGTATGAGAGGGTTAATACTGATTCGCATTAGCACTACCTATTATGATGTCCTATGAACTTGTGGGCAGTACAGCTTAGGATCTTGAAGGAATGAGACTTAACACCTGAGCCTTCTCAAATCCTATACCAATGCCAATCATATCAACGTAACCCAAACTATTTGCTAACATGCAGTAAAGTATATCTTGTTAGCAACTACAAGAGACTTCTTGATTTAAATCAGGAAGTGATTTTCATCTACCATACTCGACCCTCTGGTTTCCTATACCTTGAAGGTTGCTCCCACCGTCATCCTCAATCATGAGCAGCAGGTAGAGCATAGTGAGCTGTAACGCCCGTACAACAAACCATGTGTGTGTTTGGGTTGCAGCAGCACCAAAGCAAGCTCAAGGGATCACAACATGTCTTTCACTTGGGCCCATTTACATCTCCCTGGTCTCAAGTTCAGCAATTTCAGTCTATAAACCCAGTCACATTTCTGTTTTGTTTCTCTTTACTAGTTGTGATAATTTTTTAGTTTTTCTCTTTTCTGCAATTGGCTGGTAGTGTTGTGATTCTACCATTCACTATTGTTTCAAACACTTTATTTTCTGTATGTGTCCCGTTGTGACTTTCTTTTTGAGGTTGTACCACCATCCCTTTTTGCACTTAATCTATACTGTCATCACAAATCTTCTGTTCTTTTTCCATCTGAGTAATTCCATCAGTTTTTGTTTATTTTGGGAATAATACACTGGATCCTGGATCACCTGACTAAACAGCAACACTGAAAGATGTACTGATACTACAAGAAAATAAATATCCTATAAAGTCATTGAGATTGATTAAAAACAATTGTCTTTGTTTTACTCCACTCGAGTAATGTGGCCATCTGTCCTCCAGTGTCTGTCATAGAGCTGTACAGCATGGAAACAGACCCTTTGATCCAACTCGCCCATGCCAATCAGATACCCTAAATTAATCTAGTTCCATTTGCCAGTACTTGGCCCATATCCCTCTAACCCTTCCTATTCATTACAACCATCCAGATGCCTTTTAAACGTTGTAATTGTACAAGCCTCCACCACCTCCTCTGGCAGTTCATTCTATACACCACTGTCCGCATGAAGAAGTTGCCCCTTTAGTCCCTTTTTAAATCTTTCCCCTCTCACCTTAAAGCTATGCCCTCTAATTTTGGACTTTCCTACCCTGGGGAAAATACCTTGTCTATTTACTCTATCTATGCCCCTCATGATTTTATAAACCTCTATTAGGTCACTCCTAAGCCTCTGACACTCCAGGGGAAAATTGCCTCAGCCTATTCAGCCTCTCCCTACTGCTCAAAATCTCCAACCCTGGCAACATCCTTGTAAATCTTTTCTGAACCCTTTCAAGTTTCACAACATCCTTCCTATAGCAGGGATACCAGAATTGAAGACAGTATTCCAAAAGTGGCCTAACCAATGTCCTGTATGGCTGCAACATAACCTTCCAACTCCAATACTCAACGCACTGACCAAATAAAGGCAAGCATACCAAACGCCTTCTTCACTATCCTATCTACCTGAGACTCCACTTTTTCGAGGAACTGTCGACCTTTGTTTAGCAACACTCCTCAGGACCTTACCATTAGGTGTATAAGTACTACCCTGATTTGCCTTTCCAAAATGCAGCACCTCACATTTATCTAAATTAAACTCCATCTGCCACTCTTCAGCCAATTGGCCATTCTGATCAAGGTCCCGTTGTCCTCTGAGGTAATTTTCTTCGTTGTCCACTACGCCTCCAATTTTGGTGTCATCTGCAAACTTACTAATCATAGCTCCTATGTTCACATCCAAATCATTTTATATAAAATGATGAAAAGCTGTGGATTTAGCACTGATCCTTGTGGCACACTACTGGTCACAGGCCTCCTGTCTGAAAAGCACCACCACCACCCCACTCTGTCTTCTACCTTCGAGGCGGTTCTATATCCAAATGGCTAGTTCTGCCTGTATCTAATCTTGCTAACCAGTCTACCACGAGGAATCTTCTCGAACGCCTCCATGTAGATCACGTCCATCGCTCTGCCCTCATCAATCCTCTTCATTACTTCTTCAAAAAAACTCGATTGAGCTAGTGAGACATGAATTCCCACACACAGCCACGTTGACTATCCCTAATCAGTTCTTGCCTTTCTAAATACATGTAAATCCTGTCTTTCAGGATTCCTTCCAACAACTTGCCCACCACCGATGTCAGGTTCACCAGTCTATAGCTCCTGGCTTTTCCTTACAGCCTTTCTTAAATAGTGGCACCATGTTTGCAAACCTCCAGTCTTCCAGCAATCAGTTCCCTAGCTTACACAAAGTTCTAGGATACATGAGATCAGGTCCCAGGGATTTATCCACTTTATGGATTATAAGACGTCCAGCACCACCAACTCTGTAATATGGACATTTTTCAAGGTGTCACTATTTGTTTCCCCAAGTTCTGGATTTTCCATATCCTCCTTCACAGTAAACAGTGATGCAAAATTCTCATTTAATATCTCCCGCATCTCCTGCAGTTCCATAGACAGGGAGTCTTGCTGATCTTTAAGAAGCCCTGTTCTGTCCCAATTTACTCTTTTGTCCTTAATGTATTTGTAGAATCCCTTTGGGTTCTCCTTTAACTCCTTTGCCAAAGTTATCTCATGTCCCCTTTTTGCCCTCCTGATTTCCCTCTTAAGTATATTCTACTGCCTTTATACTCTTCTAGGGATTCACTCGATCCCTGCTGTCTATACCTTACATATGCTTCCTTCTTGACCAAAACTTCAATTTCTCTAGTCATCCAGCATTCCCTACAGCACCTCATATTCCGCCTTGGGAGCCTACAACCCAATGGTCTCAATGTGGACTTCACTAGTTTCAAAATCTCTCGACCCCTGGCCTCATCCCATGACCAACCCTCCCTCTCATCCCGCCTCCTTAACCTGACAACAACCTGTCCATCTGTTCTCCCACTTATCCGCTCCTCCTACTTCACTGACCAATCCCCACCACTGCCTACCTGCACTCACCTATCACCATCCCATCTACCTTCCCCAGCCCCACCCCTCCTCTCTCTATTTATTTCAGAGCTCCCTTCCCTCCTCTCCCATTTCTGAAGAAGGGTCCTGACCTGAAATGTCAGCTTTCCTGCTCCTCTGATGCTGCCTGACCTGCTGTGTTATCTCTTATTCCCTACACCTAACAGCCTTGCCCTTCACCCTAACAGGAACATGCTGTCTCTGAACTCTCATTATCTCATTTTTGAAGGTTTCCCGTCATCCAGTGGTCCCTTTACCTGCGAACATTCACTCTCCAATCAATTTTTGAAAGGCCTTGCCTAAAGCTGTCAAAATTAGCCTTCCTCCAATTTAGAAATTTAACTTTTAGGTCTGGTCTATCCTTTTCTATCACCATTTTATGACTAATGGAATTATGATCACTGGCCCCAAAGTGTTCCCCCAGTAACCTCTCGGTCAGCTGCCCTGCCTTATTTCCCAAGAGTAAGTCAAGTTTTGCACCTTCTCTAGTAGATATGTCCACCTACTAAATCAGAAACTTTTCTCAACAAATTTCTCTCCATACAAGCCCATTAACACTATGACAGTCCTAGTCTATGTTTGTAAAATTAAAATCCCCTATCACAACCACCCTGTTATTCTTACAGATAACTGGGATCTCCTTACAAATTTGTCTCTCAATTTCCCACTGACTATTGGGGGCAATGGAGGGGGTGATGGGTGGCTATTGTATAATCCCAATATGGTGATTATCCCTTTCTTATTTCTCAGTTCCACCCAAATAACTTCCCTGAACATACTCTCAGGAATATCCTCCCTAAGTACAGCTGTAATATTATCCCTAATCAAAAATGCCACTTCCCCCTCCTCTCACCCCCTTTCAATCCTTCCAATAGTATCTATACCCTGGAACGTTAAGCTGCATGTTGCTGGTTTCTAGAAGATACAAGAATGAACTGGCCAGCTTCCTGTCAGTAAGTGTTTTAATAAAACCAAAATAATATGCATATTTTAATTGACCTGGATTTTGATCTTTTTTCTGCAGGCATTGCTTTACAGGCCGATATGAAGTGATTGAACCATTTCTACGAGAATTTTCTAATTTGTCAGTTGGATTCACAGCCCTGTTAAGCTACCCAACTGCTGTTGTGGTCAGGGAAGCAGTAAGAAGAATTCCAATAGAGAGGATTGTTGTAGAAACTGATGCACCATATTTTTTACCTAGAGGAGTAAGTTCTATTAATCTATGTTAACCTTAACACTTGCAATAATTCAAAGAGGATGTAAGCAATTTAGAATGTAGTTATAAATCATATAATCATGTTAGTTGTGTGAAATCTAGTGTTGATTGTAAAACAGGAAAAATACAGAAAAACATTATATATTTTGCTTATGCTATTAATAAATATTACAAGACTAAGCTACAGCTGCTTCCAGCAGCTGCTTTTTTAAAATATTGGCTTCATTATTTCCAATGATTCATTCAGTATAAACGTCAGAATGCATTAAGCCAATTGGCTAAAATGGTATACTGTGAAAAGGGAAGTTGCTTTAATTTTTTTCTAAACAAACTTTTTTTTGGTGTCAATCAATATTCCATTTTTGTGCAAATGTTACACTATAAAATGACTCACTAGGAACTGCGTCAAGATTGTTCAAAAGGACATTTCATATCAGGATGGGTTGAGCACCAAAGCTAAAAGGGTGATTATAGTAACCCATTGGCTACATGTTCATCTGTTGACAAGGGACTTCTGTGATGGAATCTAGTTTCTAACTTGTCATGTGAACTAACACACTTGCCCCTGCAATCTTAAATTTTCCTGCTCTGCGCTTAGTCAGAGTGGAAGTGGTAGGGCAGTGGGGACCCCGTCGACTGCCTGCTTAAATGTCCTACCAAACTCTCTCAGGCAAGACCATTAAATTCCACCCTATGTTTGTTGCTATTACTGCCAGAAAGCATTTGCGAGTTCATACGCAGAATATTAGCAACCTTATTTGTTTGGTACATAACAAACAATATTCAGCTCTAGCAAAAATTTAGTGTTAAAAATGATGCTCAAGTATTCGTGGTAAAATATATCTTGCACCAGACAGCAGTGCAGAATATTACCAGTGATAGAATTGAACTTTACAAAGGAACTAGAAAAGTTTAAACCCTCTTCCACTGGAGCTGAGAAATAAGCTGAACCTTGCGTTCCTTTCACTAAGTGTGAATTGTGTCAAACTTTTAGGAGGGATTTGTGGTGCAAATGAGTGACTTTTCTCACCAAATCTTGCCAAATTCATTAACTGCCTACTCCACCCCTGTGGTTTCTATCTTGTCTGATTCTAGCCCCATTGTAACCCACCATTCCTGGAGTCACCCAGAATTGACCAGTATCTCTTTTGCACACACCATTTTTAAAAGCCAATTGTGCACCCAGACAAGCACTGTAAATCCAGAGTTACTCTGCTTAACTCCTGACATCTGCCCCAGACGTGGCAGACATGCAAAGAAATCGACAGCCTTTGTTGCAGGCAGGGTCCTGGAGATTCTGCTGGATGGGTATCGCAGACATGGGATGTCCTTTTCTTTTTTTCCTCTTTTTTTCTCACTGACAACCTCCAATCCTCCAGCATACAGGCCTCTACCTTCTTTCCAATATCTCTCATTCTATTTCTGTTACTGTACTCACCTCTCACCAAGGCTCATGCTCTACTGCACCTGCTATTGCCTGAAATATCTTCCCTCACTCACTGTCACCCAAGTTAACCCCAACACTAACTCTGAATGCCCTCTGTGCTGACTGTTCACTCGTTCGGGATTCCTCCCACTTATACCAAAACTAACAGCTGTGTCACCCACTTTCATCTTTCTTTATACCTGCCTATCTCTCATTCTCAGTGTAAAACAATCTACAATACGGTAGAAAGACTCAATGCGGGTGGTGGACTATCTGATGTTTGGAACTTCTCTTGTGAGATAAAGAAAATTAGGCGGATAAAGGGATAGATAGTATGCCAGGAAGAAGAAAAAAAGCTGATAATGGGGACAATAAGCAGATAAAAACCCATTTGCTGTGCTGAAAGCCTTTTCAAACGCAGCTACGGTAGGCAGATTGGTGAGAATGCGGTCCAGTATGTTTCTCACTCTTGATGCCCTCATCATTTGCTGCAGATCCAGTCTAGCAGTTTGTCCTTTTAGGACCCAATTAACTTGATCAGTAGTGCTGCTCCCTAGCTACTCTTGGTGGGGTATTTCAGTGTCCACCATCAAAAGTACATTTTGAGCCCTTGAGACCCTCTGTGTTTCCTCAGTGTTGTTGAACATGGAGGAGTACTGCTTCATCAGCCAAGGGAGGATGGTACGTAGTAATTAGCAGGAGGTTTCCTTGCCCATGTTTAACCTGATGCCATGAGGCTTTATTGCATCCAGAATCAAAGTTAAGGACTCCCAGGACAACTCCCTCCCAAACTGTGCTGCCACTTGGGTCTGTCAGGGATGGTGATGGTGGTGTCTGGCACATTCTGTAAGATATGATTTCTTGAGTGTGACAGTCAGGCTGTTCCTTGACTAATCTGTGAGACAGCTCTCAATTTTGGCACTAGCCCCCAGATGTTAGTAAAGAGACTTTGGAGGGTCAACAGGGCTGTTTTTGCTGTTGTCAATGCCAGGTGGTCTGTCCAGTCTCATTTCTTTGAGACTTTGTAGCAATTGATACAACTGAATGGCTTGCTAGGCTGTTTAGAGAGCTGTTGAGAGTCAACTACATGGATGTGATTAGAGTCACATGTAGGCCAAACCAGGTAGGGATGGCAGGTTTCCTTCATTGAAGGACATCAGTGAACCAGATGGGATTTTCTGACAATAGATTATTAATTCCAGGTATTTTTATTGAATTCAAATTCCACCACCTCCGATTCAAACTTGAGTCCCCAGAACGTTTCGGTCTCGGCCCGAAACGTCAGCCTTCCTGCTCCTCTGATGCTGCTTGGCCTGCTGTGTTCATCCAGCTCTACACCTTGTTATCCCCAGAACATTAGCTGACTTTCTGGATTAATTGTCTAGTGATAAATAGGCCATCGCCTCCCATGTCAATTTCTCAACACCTAGCCTGTTAAGAATGGTGTGATTGTTAAGATGGGAAGCTGAACATTACTGAAGTGAATTAGGCTATTAAGACATTTAGCAAGCTATAATTCACTTTAATTGTAAACTCACTGCTCCCTGTCCAGAAACTTGCCTTGGCACTCGGCAAAAGCATATAAGATGCAGCAAAATCCTACCAACATTGGGTGAAGTCTTGCCAAGCTCTTATTCAATTTTTTCACAATTTTCATTGTAGCCCATGTTGCTCGGACCCCTATAAAATTCTCCCCCAAAGTCTCCATGGTTATCAAATGGTTTGAAGAGGTAAAATGATGATAAATGATTTCCACAGTTTGGTTAACAAAGGATTTAAATTAAAATCCCAAGACAAGGTTAGAATTGCATTATTTTATGCAGGTTGTCATTAGAATGTGATTTTTTTTTTTGTTCTACAGTTTTGAATCAACATATTTTTAAAAGAAATTTAGATATTTCTATTTGAAGTATTGAATGCATGAATTAGATTAGAAATGTGATTTTATTAATATTTAATACTCATTTAAAATTGGATCTTTTTTATTCAGAATGCCATTTGAAGTGTCACAACAGTAGAACCATAGTATGGTTTACTAGTGTCATTGGCAACAGTTTATATATCTCCTTACAAGCACCTTCAGAAAGTAATGTATGCTGTCTTGCATTGTGCTTGGCCTTTGTTAGCATTCAGCCCATACAAGTTGAGAATTGAACTTTGGTGAAAAACAGCCCTAAAGACTAGGAAGTATGCTCACATGCTGTTGTTAAGTAACAGAACCCGAGTGAATACGAAGGATTATACACACAAATGGGCCTACAGTTTCCCCATCTATGTGCTGTTAAGAATCTGGGTAGGGAGTTTTAGAATCAGAGCAACTTAATCTGATTGTCCAGCATCAGAAAACAGTTACATTCCTGGAAGGTGGACAAAGGAACAATTTTGTTTTATTGTTCTTGAACTAAAATTTCCATAACTTTTTTTTGAATGGGTGTTTTGTCTATATAGGTGGATATTTTAAACTTTAAAAAAAATGATTTATTATTGCTTTTTTTCCAGATTTCAAAGAGGGTTTGTTGCTATTCCCATCCAGGACTTGCCTTATGTACACTAATGGAAATTGCCAGGCAGAAAGTTATGAAGCTATCCACAGTTCTTTCTATAGTGAGAAAAAATACTCAAGAGATATATGGAATATAAACAATTGACCTAATGTAATCCTATTTTAATTGTTTTTTAAATTGTGTCCCATAAGAATGTCAACATTTAATGAATGAATTTATCCCAGCTTGGAATGTTATTTTTCAGCTTGCATTTTTGCATAAGGCTTAGTTTGCATATTTTTAATTTGAGTACTATTTCTTATCAACTTTGAATATTGGATGTTGCAACATTAATTTGTAATGACTCACTAAATATAAATGAAGATGGGACTTAAATTTCTGACCCTGGATTTGTCAATTTTGCAAGTCAAGATTTTAAATATTAAGAGATGGGTAGTTCAACCCAACAGCTCAATATTAGTTTCTAGCTATCATTTTTTTTCCTTGACTTAGTTTGTAAATGAATTAAAAGTTGCAATTTTTAAAATTTAAATTCTGCTTTGCCTCTATTCTTCCAATGAAGAATCATGTTCTGAGGAGACATCACACATGATTGAGCTCCAGTATGCTGTGTCATTGAGCAGTAAAGAGTGATTAGCACTCATCACTTTTCAGTGACCACCCCAGCTGTGTACAAGAGTGGTATGGACTTGCTTAGATAAAGGCAAAGATCACACAGACCCCCACACACCTTGCAGATCTCCAGGCTGATGGACCAGCAATATATCATCAGTCTGTACCTAACTGCAGAAGAGCAGTAAATATAGCACTCGTTATGGCATGCCTCTGGCACTGGTGGAGACTTGAACCTGGATCTTCTGGCCCAAAGGCAAGTATACAGCCACTGCCACAACACTCCGACAGTCCTGATGAAGGATCCCCTCCTGAAACGTCAACTCTCCTGTTCCTCTGAAGCTGCCCAACCTGCTACGTTCCTCCAACTCCACACTGTGATGCTGACTCCAACATCTGCACTTCTTTGTACCCCTACATTTGCATTACACTAGCTCATTATAAATATACCTGGTAACAAAATAACGTGCCTTTATCGTTAGAACAGTTAGATTTTGTTTTTAAGTAAATCTTAAAGATTCAGTCAATTTTATTATTAAACAGTTTTAGAATCTTTTGCTTTCCTTTCTCAAAACATTATTCATGGTCTTGCTTTTGATGATGTGGTATTTTTCATTCCCAGTGCTGAACTAACATGTTACAGTTATAGCCGTACACCACTGAAACAGACCCTTCAGTCCAGCCAGTCCATTATCCCAAACTAAGCAAGTCCCAACAGCCTGCGCTTGGCCCGTAAACCTCCAAACATTTCTTATTCATGTACTTATCTAAATGTCTTTAAAACATTGTAACTATACCTGCATCCACCATTTCCTTTGGACGTTCATTCCATACACAAACCATTGTGCTTTTAAAAACGGCCCTCATGTTTTTTTAATCTTTCTCTTCTCACCTTAAAAATATGCCCCCCTAGTCTTGCAATCCCTCATCCTAGGGAAAAGACATTTGCCATTCACCTTCACCTTATCTATACCCTTCATGATTTTATAAACCTCTAAGATCACCTCTCAACATCCTACACTCCAGTGAACAAATTCCTAGCCTATTCAGCTTTTCCTTATAACTCAAACCCTTCATTCCCAGCAACATCCTGGTAAATTCATTACCACAGAAGTAGTTGATGCCAAAACATTGAATGTATCCAAGAGGCTACTAGATATAGCACTTGGGGCGAATGGGATCAAAGGTTATGGGGAGAAAGCAGGATTATGCTGTTGAGTTGGATGATCAGCCATGATCGTGAAGAATGGCGGAGCAGATTTGAAGGGCTGAATGGCCTCATCTTGCTCCTATCCTCAATGTTTCTATGTAAATCTCTTATGAACCCTCTCCAGTTTAATAATATCCCTCCCTATAATAGGGAGACCAGAAGTGGACACAGTACTCCAGAAGAGGCCTCAACAACATTCTGTACGACTTCAACATCGCATCCCAACTCCTATACTCCTAGAGGTGCCCTTCTTCTAATTAAACCTGAAACACGCGGAGAAGCTTGCCTCACCTTGCTTAATCTGTTAAACCGTTAGGGAAAATGGGAGATTAAATGAAAGAAAATGCATGATATTTACTTTGTAAGTAACAAATAACTATTTAATCCTAACAGTGAGCAAATTTACAGAATTACTAAAAAAACTGAACAATTTCCCCCTTAACTACAAACTATTCCTTAACTGAACTAAAATCTACTAGCATGCTATTTAAATAAACACAAGTCCCACTTGTATAACTCAAGTAGTGAGAAAAAGTAAATTAAAACTTAGTCTCTCAAAGTCCACACACTGTGCCTTCTAGAATGCTCCGCTTTCTCCACTGTCTGTGCAGTCATAAACGCCTTTCTTCTGCTGATCGTGCTGTTAGGGATATTTTCTCTGAAGACTCTTAGCTACAAATGCCATGGTACCTTTTATGGATAGGATAGTGCTTTCTTAAAGAGCTTAGTGATTTCTTGTGAGAGCTAGGTGCTTGTTTCTCAGATGGTGGTTTTCTCTCACACGGATTTTCAAAAACCCTCTCCTTATATACCTTGGATTACATATCAATTTTTTTTTTACAACAGCATCGGTCCAAGGTTGTCAAAACCATCAGATTTAAATTCAACTGGCTTTCAATTGCTAAGTGCTTGTTTTAAATTAAGCGGCTGATTCCAGCTGGTTGCCAAAACATCAAAACATACCTAAGGTTTCTAGTCACACACCCAACTGATACATCGTTTCCATTTTAGAACTGGCTATACGTCTTCAGCTACATACAAAATCTCTAAGCTTAGAAAAGCACTTTATCTCTTAAAGGGATCATGCACTGTTGTCCGTTATCATTTTTTTAACAAACAAATTGTAGCTTCCTGCCGTCCAATTCATGACTTAGCTACACAACTTCGTAACAGTAACAAATGCTGACCTCTATTCCCATTAATAGATGTATAAAAGAGAATTTTATGTAAGTTATGAAGAGTTCAAAAGTAGATTCAATAGTAAATTTTGTTGGGGGGGGGGTAAAGGCTCCATAGGCATGTAAAGGAGAAAGTAAAATCAGGGATAAGGGGAAAGAGCAGAGAAGTGGTAGTAATTAAGAAGCTCTTTCAAGCTGCAGTTGGGCTCAACAGCCTTTGTATGATTTTAAGAGGTGTTCTTTGCACCTGGAGTTTTTGACAGAGCACTAGAATAGTGAAGCTGTTTCCTTTGCAAGTAGGCCTTGACAAGTCGCTAAATTCACGACCCAGGCTAGGGCCTGGCCATATTGTTTAATTTACAGACCATGTCCTTGCAGCCATACCTGGATTTCTAGAATCACAGAAGTCTTATGGCACAGAAGGGGGTCATTCAGTCCATTGTACCTGTACTGGCTTGTTAAATGAGCCACCTAGAAGATCAAGATCAATAGGAACGACGCTTGCAATTTCTGTCCAAGTAACACATCATCCAGACTTGGAAATATATTGCCATTCCTTCAGCACTATTACCTAATGTCACTCTCCTTTGTCCCCATTTCTTTGCACATTTATATGCAAATAATCATACATCACGCTCTTGAATAGCCATTCTGACACGTGCAGCAGGGGGATGCATCTCTAATAATCATGTAACAGCTTGACAACAATTATTCACTGTCATTCTTTAGCAAAGAAAGGTTGCGATCTGGCGTTGTGTGTGCCAAAAACACAAGTTGCTGGAAAAGCTCAGCAGGTCTGGCAGCATCTGTGGGAAGAAATCAAGAGTTGACGTTTCGGGTCCAGCGACCCTTCCTCAGTTCCCAGTTCTGAGGAAGGGTCACCAGAACCAAAACCTTAACTCTGATTTTTTTTTGCCCTCACAGATACTGCCAGATCTGCCAAGCTGGTCCAGCAACTTGTGTTTTTTGACCCTTCCTCAGTTTGTTTCTGATTTACACCATCCGCAGTTCTTTTGGTTCTTAAACTGTGTGCAAAAAAACACAATAGAATAGTTCCAGCTGGGTGTCTCAAAGTAGTTAGAAATTATCGCAAAATGACCAATTGAGCCGTAAATTTGGAGCTTTGCAATATGTTGTTCGCAGGCCCAGGGAAGGCAACGGCAGTGACCTCATCAAGATGGCGGATGGGCTTCCCGGGGACTCATGCCCTTAATAGACCTTACGAAGATGGCCGCCGGATTGTCGCCTTTACCTCACTAATATGGCCGCTGCACTGGCAGGGTCTGGTGTTTGTGCCGTGCTGCCGGGTTTAAACTGATCTTCGTCGTCATGGACAAGAAGAAGAAAATGTTCGACGTGACAGCAGCGTCGGTGAGTGTCGGACACTGCAGAAGATGAAGATGATAATGTTCCGGTGTTGTAAATACGGAGCGCAGGCCCCATGTTAGTCCCCGGGTTTTCCTGGCTGCTTGGCCTCGTATCCACGTCCTTTCACTGGGGAGGGTCAGGGAGCAGAGGCATCGCTGACTGCTGGAGTGCTTCGGATGTAATTAGCAGTTTTCCGTGGCTCCTGCCGGAAAAGAAAGGCACAACTCCAGTATCTCTTAATTCCTACATGACCCAAAATATTTCACACACCGGAGGTCGTCCACAGCGCTATTGCTTGTAACAAAAATAGAAATTGCTGGAGAAACTCAGCAGGACTGGCACTATCTGTGGAGAGAGAAACAAGCTCAACGTTTCGGATCCAGTGACCTTTCTTCAGAGCCTTCACAGATAGTGCCAGACCTGCTGAATTTCTGCGGCTTTTTCTATTTTTGTTTCAGGTTTCCAGCATCCGCAGGTCTTTGTTTAATATAATTGCTTGAATCCTTATTTACACTACACTCTTTTCCTGTCCTCAGGGCTCACTGACTTATATTAGCTCTCGGTCTGACAACGCTTTCATTTTTAAATTCTCATCCTTATGTCCTTGACCTTCCTTGTCTCTCTCATCTCCCCCAGCTGCATTACTGTCTGAGATATCTGTGTACCTGTCATTCTGGCCTCTCTACAGCCCTGTCTTCACTTCATTGCCTTTCCCCAGTATTGGGTGGCATGCCATCATCCCTTAGGTCCCAAACTCAGTGACTCCTTCACTGAACCACCTTTCTCTCCTCTTTCAAAACCATCTTCAGAGTTACCTCAATAGCCAAGCTTTTCACCTGTCCTGTTGGCCTAGATTTTGTGGTGAACATTGGACAAACTATGCACAATTTGTTATGCATCGACTCTAGTTTTATTGCAGATCTTGTGTGGCAAGTGGTAACTTACAATAGGAGATGGTGCAATGCCCTTTACAGAAGTTCTGTGACCTGTGTGAACAAGGCAAGCAACTGCTTGTCACTTCATCAGACAGATTGAAGAATTCTTATTGAGACAAATAAATCATGAATTGAAATATGTCAGCTACAGTGTTTAAATCAATATAACATAAGTGCAATAAACATAATGGAGAGGGAAACAAGGA